AAAAAAAAAAGAAATCTTTTCACTTATCCAAATTATGAATAAAATATAAATTAGGCAATAATTAAGCAGCAAAATAATATATGCAGACATAAAATAAAAAATAAACTTTGAAATTTGAATTACCTCGCTGAGCTGAGGGAAAACCGTTTGTGGGGTTGCTTGTGCCTGAGAGAATGCAAATCGCCGCCGGAGCAGTACTCCATCACCACGCACGAGAATTGCGACGCCTCGAACTCGGCGAAGAGCGTCGGCAAAAACGGGTGGTCCAGCCGCCGCATGACCCTCCGTTCCGCCTCCGCCCTCTCCGTCTTCTTCTTCAGGGCCAGCACGTCGTTGTCCACCACCTTCATCGCGTACAGCCGCCCGTCGTCCGCCTCCCCGCGGAGGCGGCACAGGTAGACGCGGCCGATGTCGCCGCTGCCGATTTGCCGCACCAGGCTGAAGTCGCGGAACCCGCGGGCCGATGAGTCTGACCCGCGGTGCGTCTGCAACGCCGCCTGCTCCGGCGAGCCCGCCGGAAGCTCGAACGAGAATCGGCCGAGGCTGGCGGAGGAATGGCTGAGTGCGGCGGTCGCGGACGTGGTGTCGCTGCTCATCGAGCTCTTGCCGGAGTACAATCCCTCTGAATCCGAGTTCCTGTGCGAATCGTCTGACATTTTGCGCCCGATTTCATGTACCGATCGGAAACGAACCTCTGAACCCACCGAATTTTGCAGATTTTCGCGGCGATTAAGTGATTTTCTGGCCTCAATTGAACGGAAATTGGGGATTTTTTTTTAGCCAGCTGGAAGTTGGAAAAATAAGTCCCTCAGAAGGTGAGACAAAGGTTGGAGCTAAGAAGTGGGCATTAATAAATGGAGCTTTTTCAGAGAGTGTGCAGAAATGGTTGCAGTAGAGAGAGAGAGAGAGATGGGAGCTTTGCTTATGTTACTGTGTGCATTAATGGCGATTTAGGGATTCCGTACAAAGAGAGAAAACAGGGACGGGTTTATGGCTACTAGCAATAGAGCCAGCTTATCTGTATAAGAGCTCTGCTTACAAATGTGTGTGTGAAAGTTATTGTGTTTTGAGAGTTTGGTGGTTGAGAGTTAGAGACTTGAGAGGAAGGCTTTATATAAACATATATATATAAAAAAAAGGAAGACGCTATGGTCAATGGAAAATGCTATGGTCGGATTAAGTAACCATCCCGTCTAGTACTAATTAGTGCGTATCTCGTGCGATGTAAAACATAGGTATTAAATGAGTTATTTTCACAGATTTTGTCCGTTTAAGTCTATAAAGCAGTAGGGTTATCATTTATTTTCCACCTCTTTTTTCAGTGTTTAGTTTAAAATACAATAAGGTTATAATTCATTTTCTACTTCTTTTAATCAATGTTATTTTTTTTTTTTTTTATATACTAACACATTTATACTAATATAAATTTAATTTTAATATGTATATTTATTCCTTGATACAACAATAAATAGCGTGGTTTCCGGAGAAAATTTGCCGGCAAATTGACAGCATCATGAAGCGATTCATTTGGAAGGACCGCGATGGACAGGGTCTTCACCTCGTCAATTGGCAAACTGTGGCCACGCCTCGCCGCTCGGGAGGCCTTGGCCTTCGTCAAACACGGCAAATGAATATAGCTATGCTTGGGAAAAAAGTTAGCGAATACATTGAAGGCGCTTCGTCGCTCTGGGTTGAGGTTTTGTCTGACCGATTTAGCAAGGGATACGAGGGGATTAAAAGGTCTAAGATCCAGTCTTCTTCTGTCTGGACAGCAATGAGGCGGTGCTTTTCCATCATTGAGACTGGGTTCACTTACAGAATGGGTAATGGGGAGACCAATTTATGGGAAGGAATTCATTTTCAAAGCAAACCCATCAAATGCCTGGTGGACTACGTGCATATTGCTGACTCTAACAAATCTTGTCGTCAGATGATCGTTAACGGGAGGTTTGATATTCAGTCGTTGCACACAATCTTCCCACCCCATATTTCTAAGGCGCTGAAGGATGCCCAGAATATTTATCTTCATCCATCAGTGCCAGACAAATGGTGCTGGTTTGTCGGTAGTAAAGGGAAATATTCAGTTGCGTCTTGCTATGAGTGGTTGCTTAATCAGGGTACTAACACGAAGACGTCGTGGAAAAAGATTTGGAGGCCTGACGTGCCAGAAAAAATTAATTTCTTCTGTTGGCTTCTTGGGCAACGTTCGCTTCCTACTAAGGATCTTCGTCACCGGCGACATCTAGAAACAACGGGTGCTTGCACGATTTGCGGGGATGGAACGGAGACCTGGGTACACATGTTCTTCGAGTGCCCGTGGACTACGCAGGTTTGGGCCAGGTTAGTTCGTTGTGGTTTTCCCTATTGGCTAGCCCACACGATTCCCCGTGATAGCCATGGTCTGGATTTCATCGTTAATGCGCCGGTGGGTATGCGATTTGCACTTTGGTTTATATGGCTGGAACGTAATAACAGGGTGTTCGGGAATCCTCCTAATTCTCCCTTTGCTGTAGTTAAGGAAATTCTTTCATTTTTCCAATGGTGGAAGGATGCACGGTTGCGGGCAGATAGGCTCATGGATGGGGTTAGCCATGACATTATGCCGAAAACAGTAACATGGAATCCCTTTTATTGTACGGGTATGATCTTGCATACGGACGGTTCGTCCATGGGTAATCTGGGTCCTTTCGGCTTTGGAGCTGTCTTGCGCACTCATGAGGGGGTGTGGATTGAGGGCATTTCAGGGAACATTGGCATTGCAGACAATACGTTGGCCGAGGTGATTGCCATTCTCGAAGGGCTAACTTTAGCAGTGGCTCGGGGGTGTACAACTCTTACCTGCTACTCGGACTCGCAAGAGGCCCTCAGGTTGATTAACACGACAACAGTCCCTAATCATGTTGTGGGGGGGCTGATCATGAACATCAGGGACAAGATTAGCTCGATCACAAATTTACAGTTTTTCCACATTTGGAGGGAGGGAAATTCCGTTGCAGATCGCTTGGCAAGGAGAGGATCCAAGGAGGAAGCTTTCTTCACTACTTGGGCTTTTCCCCCAGACGATCTTCTCACTCCGTTGGCTAAGGACGCAACTATGTTTCCTTACCCGCGCTTATAACATTTTGTGCTTCTTTTCTCGTTGCCTTATCTGTTGTTTTTGTATCTCTTCTCTTATTGCTTTTTCTGCTTTTCTTTTTTCTTCTTCTTTTAGCTTGTATCGGCTTTGCCGTTCTATTCCAAAAAAAAAAAAACAATAAGAGTTTTATTTATTCTTCTTCACCATATAATTAATACTTAATTATTATTTTACTATAAACTTTGTTGCCATATACTGTCACTATTATATAAAAGTTATAGAAGTTGTACGTCTTTCTTTTCTTTTTATTTTATGTAATAAAAATATTTAATGCACGTTAATATTATTATTTATGTAATCAATTCAAAATGTGTAAATAAATTTAATATTAAATAGTGTACAAATATTTTACACAATATACAAACATGTTTTTTTAGAATTTAATTTTGTGTACTAATTAAACAACTAAAAACTCAATCCCTTCTATAGTCAAGATTTTTCTGATTTGCATTATAAAGATTTATAGTTTATTTAGCAAGCTCTGCAATGAAAATACATTTTATAGAATTTCATTATAGAAAGAAATAAAAAAATGATAAAAATATAATTATATACAAATAAAATCTAAAGAACATTTAATACATTTTAAATTTAATTTTTAACCATTAGTAGGACTATTTAATGTATCTGGTCATCATCTCTTAAATGGTAAATTATATTAATTTGAAGAATAATTAATTTTATATATAACAAAATAAAGCTTAAGAAAAATTATATTGACAATGTTTAATTCACCAACTTGATTTCGGATGATTAATTGGAAGAAAAAAATCTGCCTAACTTGTGACCATTTTTTATAAAAAAAAATGGATAAAAAATGAATATTTGTGAAAAGAAATACTATTATTGTTAAAACTTAAAATATGTTGTAATATTTATCTTGACCAAAATATTATAACATTAATCACATAAAATCAATACTGTAATTTATTATATTGGATATCAATGAATTTATTGCATATATAAATAAAACTAGTATTAGAACATGTGCATTTGCACAAATGTAAATAAAGTATTGTGAGTTATTTATATGCGTATAATGATTAATTATTTTTCTTTCACTTTCCTGAGGCCAAATTTACAATTAAAGTTGGAATATTTTTTTTTTAAAATTGTATTTATCTGATCAGATGTAATGTATATTTGAGTACGTCTTTTTTGTGATTTATTTATTATTTATTTAGGAATTTCAAATAAGTTTTTTTTTTTTTAAAAAAAAAAACGAATATAATGTAACCACAATAATAACATCTAAATCACATTATACGGTCAACATATAATATGGTCATCTGTCCGTAATCAAAAGTTTAAAATGATTTTTGTAATTTTGAAATGATTAGTTTTGATTATTTAATAATTAAATGAAATAGTAAATACATCAAAAGTAACGGTTTTTTGAGGGAATTGGTTAAATTACCACATAGGTAAAATTAAATAGGTTTTATTAAATACTATTAGCTAGTAATTATATATATATAGATTATTTAAGGAAAAAAATATTTTTGATCATATTGTATATGGAAGTAATTAATGTAAATATTTAAAAAGTTTCCAAAAAGGTCTGCATTAAATACTCCAAAAAATTTCGACTACTATTTTTAGTAAATGGTTATTCGTATTATATATATAGATATAGATTACTGTTATCCAACGGTAAAAACTCTCGATAGGATGGTTCTGTAACGATACCGTAGCATTTTCCTATAATATATTTTTTTTTTATTTATCAAACTCTTAATTTGACATTCATCTTGTATATATATAAAATAAATAGATAACTATATATTTTTCTCATATCAGCTTATAGTACATCTTTCACTTAGAAAAATTACATTTATCATTACTTAACTCATAATAAATTTATACTCTATTACTGATTCATTTTCATAATAAGAAACGTAGTGAGCATTAGCATTTATCAAAACTTGACTCTGAATTAATTTATTTTCTACAATTTTCTCTCAAAAATATTACTAACGCTTGTCATTACTTAACTTTTAATTAATTTATATTCTACCATTATTTTATTCTTATAATAAGAATCACCGTAAAAACTAGCATTTATCAAAACTTTACTCTGAATTAATTCATTTTATACTATTATTTTATTTCTATAATGAGAAATGAGAAACACGACGTTCAAACATCATGGTAATTTCATATATAAAATATAAATTACTTCAAATATTCGATTTGAGATATTTATGTAAATGTTTAAGTTCAATTTTTCAGATTAGTATAAAAAATGTAATGACAAAAATTGTTGTCGTCCATTTTTAGACAAATTTGCATTTTTAAGAAGATTTATTAATAAGTAAAAAATTTTAAGAAAATAAGACATAAATTGTTCTTAAAAAACGGAAAATATTTTGGCCTATATATTTAAATGTTAAAGTGCACAATAAGATATAAAAAAGGTAAGACTATATTTAGGCTTACAATTTTCAAACCTAAACTTCACACACACAAAAAAAAAAAAAAAAAAGTCAGTTTCAAATTTGATTCAAAAAATTTTCTTTATAACTATTTAAACAAAAAGTTAACATTCCAATTTTGAATGAAACATCAACCTCTATATAGATTACATAAATCATGGGAAAAGAAAGATTACATGTATTTAAAAATTATATAAAATAAGTTATCATACAATATTAGAAGTTATAAATTATAATATAATACTATTTGGTTCACCAAATAATAATAGAAATATATAATATTATAAACCATTGAATATCCCATTGTACATAATACTTTTGAATATGTTTGGTTTTTGTGAATAATTTTTTTAAATCATATATCAAATTGTTATGGTAAAATAATTATAATATGATTCAATAAGTTATAAATACATTAGGGTTTAAAAATATAAAAAAAAAAATCATTAAAATTTTAAATACAAGCACTTTATATTACTATAAACAGGTTAATCTATTTTTTTATGTAAGCCAATATTTCGTGTTTGGCTAGTTTTTTTTAAAAAAAAAAAATTAAAAAAAAAATATAAAACTAGGCAATTCAAACTCCACACGTCCATAAAACTATGACTACGACAATGGCTACTCAGATCTGAAGCCAACGAATTAGATCCATTCTTCAAACTCGACAACCAAACAACTGACGGGAATCGGGTGATAGGTCCGTCAATGGGAGAAAGACTCAAAGAAGAGATCCAACCCCACCGCAGTCAGATCCATAAGGGCCGAGAGAGATTCACATTATGCACAAAATGGACGACAACTCCATTGCCTACGCTAGCAACTCCTTGGCTGGAGCGGTTAATTGAAACGGCGACAACCCACCACTCCTCCTCGCCGGCAACGACCCCAGCCACGACGCAAACGCACTGAATCTACAAAACCTAGCAGCAAGTGAGGAAAATGAAGCTTCGCAGGCTCGTGCGCCCCTTGGACGGATCAGGACATAGGGGCGGAGCCAGGATTTAAAACTTACCCAGGCTAAAATTATAGCAAATATGAAATAAAATATTATGATAAAAAATATTATTTTTTTTAAGTG